AGTCTCAGAGAATATTTCAGAAACAGGTTTGCCAAACGTGTTTTGGTACTTTTTTCTCTCAAAAATTATTTCTGAAATACAAACCAAACAAGCCCATTAATTTTTAGTACAACGGTAAGTAAACCTTATTATCATTATCAAAGAACCTATGTTGGCATACTCACACATTAGGGGAAACCAAACCAGGTTTGCCACTACTTCCAGTTTCAAACACTATTAATAACTTCACATAGGACATAGCAGAAAATGATATCAAAAAGCAAGTCCATCAGGCAACAACTAATTCCCCCCACTTTGTAGAAAACAAGCAACTACTTGCTCATAAGGTGCAGGTGCACATTGCCATAGCAAATTATATATATATATATATATATATAACAGAATTCACAATAAGGTTCACCTTCAGAATAATCAAGTGATTCACAGCGATGTAAAGTTATGATATGTTTAATCAAACCAGAAATATTTACTTATAAAAAACATGTATTTGATAGAACCAGAAGCCAATGAGCAGGTAGCTAAATGCTAGCCACTAGACACTTAAAAAACCTAAAATAAGAAGAAAACTTTATTGATGGAAAAGATTACAACAAAAACAAGAGAGGGTGCATAAGCATCATAGCGAACAAATGGATCCCAACTAGGTTGGCATCCAAACGCACGCCCAATCATATGCTAGCACCCCAGGAAGTTGATGAGGAACCAACCTCCACAACACAACACAACAAACCGATTACAACACAAAAGTAACAAAGCAAATGACCCAACTGAACTGCCCCAGTAACAGCTACAGCAACAGATTAACAAATCCAGAGCAATAGAGTCAGATCAGAACAGCAAGCTGAAGAAAAATAGAGCAACAGCCAGAACAAACCAGTAGCAGAGCTCACACAAATTAGCAGCACCACACATGAATAAAGTAACAGCAACAGCAACAGATTAATAGATCCAGAGCAACAAAGTCAGAGCAGAACAGCAAGCTGAAGAAAATAAAGCAACAGCCAGAGCAAACCAGCACCAGAGAGAGAGAGAGAGAGAGAGAGAGAGAGAGAAAGAGGAGGTTCAAAAAATGAAATGGCAGCCTGGTAGGGAATCAAATTAATAGGAGGAACCTCAACGAGAATGGTCACATTCAAGATTGTCGCTTTTTAAAATCAGGAAAAAAAAAATGTCATGTACCTAGAAAAAAACACTATCTAGAATTCGTAATTTCTTATTGTGAGGGTCACACAAAATGAATCTAATCACTAAATTTCAAAATTTTGAGTACTTTTCTAATACATATCCTTCTTATTTTAAAATTACCTTTTAAAATTACCAATCTGAATTTGGTTTTATGGAGCTCCAATAATCTGACTTTCTATGTCTCATCAAAAGGTTTTGAGAATTAATGAATTTGACAGCAGTGGTGGGGCAAGCTGACAGAGTTTTATTTGGTAGGGATATTGAATTTTTTTTTGTGAAAGACAACATTTTTAGGAGTTCAAAATCAGTAAAATTTGAGGTGCATGACACAAGTCATATATGAACTCACTTGAGAGACTTTGCAAAGGGGTTTTTAAGTGAGAAATTACGGCTTGCATTCATTGTATGTCGTGGATGTGGTGCCGTGAAAAGTCAATTTTGTTGTAGTGAAAGGCTATATCATTCATAGTTGAATGATCAACTCAAAAGCATTCATTAGTGTTCACCAATTGCTAAGCACATTGGCTCCAGCAATAGTTTGGTTATTTTATTTTTATTTTTAAAAGCCAGTAAAGGTGTACATAATAAGATATAGCAAATATATATTGGCAGGAAATGTGATTAATATTTGTTACTTACGTTATTTTAATGTTGCATGGGAAAACATTCATCGGACACATCACCACGAATAAAAGCGAAAATAAGAAAGGACAGATATACGTAGAATACAGGATTTATGTGACTATACATGCTCCCAACAATGTTTCCAAGTGAAGCAAAAGAAAGAGTCAATCATCTATTTCTAATGACCTAGCATACTTCATCCTTTGTGTTTAATAAAACCTTCAAGAGTAATCATGACAGATGACAGGCATGTAACACAAATAGTCTAAAATCCTATATATATAACCAAACTTGTAACATTATGATTGACGAGCAGTTTTGTTTGTAATATAAATTATTTTTACATAGTTCTGGATGCCTTTTGAAAATCAACAAAATCATAAAGCTTACCATTTCCAACATATAAATAGAGAATATTAATGAGACCAAAGAAACACAGGTAGGCAAATATACAAGTAAATGTGTACAATTTTATAATTTGTGTAGTACTACTCGAGATATAATATCAATGCATTTGTTTATATTCTAGTTTGCGAAAAATTTTCAAAAACCAAATTCATAAAACTCAACCAAATAGATTTGATTCCCAACATCACTAGCAGTGAGGCAAGACCAAAATATAAAATGCACACATTAAAAAAGTAGGGAAAGAAGAGCATGTACATGCAATGAAACAGACCAGGTTTTTCTCTTTAAACATAAGTGAATAATGCAGCAAGCAAGCAAACAATAACAAGGAAGGTGATACCACATAATCGATTCAATAAATCACCAAGTATAACTATCTTTAAACATAATCAAGCATGTTTTGGATTTATTTTTTAAAGAAAAAACACAAAGGTCAGTTCCCTAACTATACGATCTGCTAAGACAATAAATCATACACCTAAAATCGAATTTAAATATGGTCATAACGTAATCGTGAGTCGTGAGTGAGAGATGCAGAATCAAGTATCAGATTTACAAGAGAGAGAGAGAGAGAGGGTCTGGAAACACTCAAGAAAGTGAGTTCAAAATCAAATGATGACGATAAATAAAATAAAAAAGTAAACAATGATAGAAACGAATCAGAGATTGATCGCTGGTAAATTACTGCAAAACCTGAATCTGAAGGGACAGCGGGCGACGACTCCTCCTCCCCCTCCGCTCTTTCTATCTCCCTCTCTCTCTCTATTTATCTATCTGTATATATGTTTCTTGCAAGGGAGGCAGTGAATGGATGGGTTTAGGGTTTGTGTGAGTCGTTTGGTTTGGGTTTTAAAGTAAAGTCATGCGGTTTGTCCAGCGAAGAGTGAGGTATCAACAAAGACTGATAAAAACAAATAGGAACTAATTATCACACCATCAATGCACCACCACCACCAACAATTGAAGATCTCCAAGAGGCTTAAAAATTTAATAATGATATATTATTTTTATTACAAAAGATTAATATCGATATATTAACCATATATGTCGTACACATGTCAAAAAATATTATTCCAAGAGTTGACTCAATTGAAGATCTCGTAGTCAATTCATTGTTATATTGTTAAATAACAAAGACTGATATGGACAACCATTAATGTACTAATTAGCCGTGTCCTATATGCATGAATAATTTCAATAAATATTATTCCAAGACTCTTTTTTTTCTAGTATGCTCAACATGCAATACTATGCTGATAAACATCATGCATAAAAAGAAAAAAAAAATCAATAAAAGTATCTCAATGGTACCACCACGTAAACAATATCACAGGTATTCATGAAATATCTAATATTTTTTCTTATTGTACAACATGTGATTTGTGACTCGTAAAAATTCGAGTTTTACTTTAAGATAGTGTTTGGTTCACTAGAATGAAATGAAATAGAACGATCATTCCATCAAAATATTCATTTTCATATTTGGTAGATTAAAAAAATAATAACAAAATACATTATAAATAAAAATAAAAAGGTTGTGACCCCCTTTTTGAGAAACCTCCACCACCCCCAATGCATTGTGATTGGTCAACTTTTTATTTTTTTTGTTTTTTTGTCCTCTTATCTCTGGCTAACATGTGTTTGTAGGGGTTGTGGAGATAATAATAATAATATTGAAAAAAAAAAAGAGTTTGTATTATTTCTGTAAATAAAATCATCATTGACCATTTCAAGAGAATGATCATTCCATATAAGAGCTTAAAAAATTATCGTATTATTTCATTCCAGTGAACCAAATAAATAAGGATGATTTTAAGTATCCGGCAAGATTAGCGGGAAAATAACAGAATGACACGAGGAAGAGGAAGAGATGCGTATGAGAAGGAACACATACATCATGCTTCCACCATGTACTAATTTAATAAAACCATATAGACTTTCAACAACCCTACTCTTTTGTAAATCTCGAACTGAGCTGCAACAGTCGAGAACAATTACGAGGCAAAGCAGAACACGGCATAAGCACTTGAAAAAATTATTCAGGATTTCACCTATAACTGATATGTGCGGATAAAGTTCATTACCTACAACACACTAACTTTAAATATACATCATAAATACTCCCTACGTCCCAAAATATTAGTCCTTTTTGGGGAATCCAACTTTTTTTGGTAGTAAAATTATTGCATTTGAAAAAAGTTGATTTTCCAAAATTACCCTTTTGATAGTACATTTTTTTGGGAATATCAATGTCATAATTGTACTTTTTATATTGTTTATTAATTTAAAAGAAGGGCAAAATAAGAAATTTACATTATTTTTGTACTTGATTTTTGAAGAGGGACTAATATTTTGGGACAATAGAAAATGGAATAAGGGACTAGTATTTTGGGATGGAGGGAGTATTTCATTTTCAATGTTGAAATTCTGGTTAAAGTTTTCATGCTATCTTCTATCTAGAATTATTGCTTGAGGCAGATAACAAAACTAACACCAGGTACAACCCACACAAAATTGAAATAGTCAGATACTAATACCAAACAAAAAATATATATCCATCATCAAATTCAAGTTCTGAGAATGTACAAAGTAATAGGGGAAGAAACAACAATTGATCCAGCTCTGAAACAATGTGGCCCCCCAAGGACAAATAATATGACAAAAACAACTAGAAAACAGGACATGGTTCAAATTCACAATTGGAAAGCGATACAAACCAGATATGTGGGGCCTCCAATGGTCACAAGTCACTAGCGAATGTATGTCATGCTTAGAGATATAGATAAAGAGTAAAGTACAGCCAGGCAAGTTAGCACCATCACACGATTGCCACCTTTACAGCTACATCAAGAAGCGATCTCACATGGGTATCGTTCCTCTTCCCCAATTTTGCCTTCTCAGCCTCTTTGAATGTTTAACTTTCTTCTTTCCTCTTAAGAGGCAATTTTTGAGACATCTTTGCTTGATCTGTTGTATTTCATGTGGCTCTTGACAAGCTGCCCAGCTGCAATGGCGGACATCAAGGAGAGCTCCCCTGCCAAAACTGAACCAGCTACTATGGTTGCTAAAAGCCTTGAGTTCGATCCAGGGGACTCCTTGCTTGCACCTTTCACGCCAAGAAGGTTCAGGCAAGCCGATTGAGATGCAAGTTGAGTCCCACCTCCAACTGTGCCCACCTAGAACAAACAAAAAACCAAATAAGTTACAGTTATAGAAAATGGTTTAAGAAACTCAAACAGAAATACAGTTCAATATTCTGAATACATTCTGGTTCCCTAGAAGTAAAAAATATAAGTAGCAATGCTTCACAATTAGTTGCAAAATGAAGTAATAGTGTAACAGAAAAGCACTCTGCCTTAAAGGTCCACAGATGAGGCTACACAATGCTTGCAGCACAACAGTACAGAACCAAACAAACAAAAAAACACCGATATTTGGTCAAGATGGCAATACAAGCAATGCATTGGATTTCCCTACTCCATTCTGAAAACAAACCATTCCTATTTCATCTATTCAATCCACAAAACACTGATTTCCCAAAGAAAATCTCATCGTCGGCCCCAAAAAACTCTCAAACTGTAACCCTAGATTCGCATCACCTTACCACCGTCGTCGGCCACTGCTATTCCACTTCATCTCACCGCTGCGAAGGTTTACATCGGAAGGAGGGTGGTTCATTGTTCCGTGTTTCCCGTCGGTTGACTGAGTGTGGTCCATCGATTTCCATACCCACCCACAATGAGGAACAAAAGTAAGCAACATCATTCCACCTTCTGTTTTTCAGTCATAATGTGATCACTAGTGTATATATTTACATTGCCTATTACTATTGTTATTTTTGGATTTGATTTTGTAAACATCAATGATGTGAACATTCACACTCCTATTCAGTAATGGATAAACACACATTAGATCAGTTAGTGAGTAAATATTCAAACTGTGACATCAATGTCAGACTTGTTAGTGTTGTTGGTTATTGATGGTCATGAAATAATAAAAGTCCAAACTATGGATGGTTGTCAATCTTGTTTTGGTTACATCTGAATTCTTGTAGGCATGTTGTAAATAATATCATATTATTTCACTTGTTATTGATTAACATCAATGTCAATATGCACATTCTAAACATAATGTCAATTATTACATTCTAAACATAATGTTAATATTCACATTGTGATATTCTGAACATAATTTTAATATTCACGTTGTGAATATAATGTTAATATTTACATTGTCACATTCACATTGAATATTCACACCATATATTTGGCTATGAATATTCACAGTCAAACACATAAGTGTGATGATGTGAAGATTAACATTGTGTATACGTCGTGTTAGTTTAATAGTTGTAATGTGTGATTGTTCTCACATCTTCATGTGAATGTTGGTTTGTCATGTGCTATCACATTTTCACGTGAACATTTGCACCAGCTATTCACATACTATTTCACCATCACCATCCCATTATTTATATGGCATATAATAATTAACACTTATTATCACTATTCATTTGTGAACAGTAATATTTAATTTGTTTGTATTTGAACAAACAGGTCTTTCCTATAGATTTGATGGCAAAAGAAAGAGAGAGGAATCCCGTGCCAAAGGCAAACTCGATCAAACAGCTAGTTCCTAACAAGTGAACATGAAAAAGGTCAACTACCAGTCAAATATTGTCACGACCCAAACCCGCCCTTAAGGGGTTAGCGTCGTAACCAGCCAGTAATCCATGATTACTAAAGGCCTGTTTTACAATAATGACAATAATACAATATAAAGGGGCAAGCGGAAGCCAATCAATAGTAACATACATCATCCAATGAGCTGTGAGGACCTGAATGGAAATAAACTTTCATACACACATATACCAATGCACACATAAGTCCAAGTCTATGTCCAACACATATATAAAAGCTTAAGTCCAAAACATCCAAGACATGTTAGGGAGTAAAACCCCAAGCCAAAAACTAAATGTAAAACATTTACTTAGACATTAAACAACTCTCCAAAAAGGGCGGAAAAAGATCACCCAAAAAGCCTTGATAACACGTTGTTTGGTTTTAATTTTTTTTAAAAATTAATTTTTTATTTTTCATGTCTTTTTATTTTTAATAAACATTTTTAAAAATTTAAATAATTTTTTTATTTTTTTAGATGCACTTTACTTAGATGTATCTAAAAAATAATATTTTAAAAAATCAATAAATACATAAGAATACGAAAAATGTATTAAATTTTCGTATTTTTTTTTATATTTTTGGTATTTAGTAAATTTTTTAAAGATTTCTTTTATAAATATTATATTTTATAAGTGTATTTATGTTAGGTGTATCTAAAAATTAAAAAAAAATTGTTTAAAATATTAAAAAAATTTAGTAAAAATAAAAAAATTAATTTTCTGAAAAATAAATCCTGAATTATGAAACCAAACAAAATATAGCTTAGTTGGTCAGAGTCTAGATGCAAGAAATTTCCCCCTCTTCAGGTTATGGCCTTTGATGTACCAAAATAAATAAATAAACATGACTCGACTTGCTACTAACATTCCAAGCTCCTGCAACATTTTTGGATGGTGATATTTTTAACCATTAGTTATGCAATAATGCTACAATGACTAAATTTGGGATGAAATGTAATACATCAGTAACACATTAAATGATATTCAAAATTTGATGGCCATATATAAGGGAAGAGTTACAGTCAGAGAGTGTTGGTGGGATATACAATAGTTGAGGCATTTTGAAGCCAGTGGCTAGGGTTTAAGGTCACTCAGGGAAAGGGGGTCCCAAATACAATACAACATGTTCTGTGCCATGCTGACACTACTGGTGGTGCTGCTGCTGCTGCTGCTGCTGCTGCTGCTGAGCCCTGCATATGCATTTCATGGGACCACAATACATACATACATACATACATACATACATATATATATATATATATAATAGTGAATCTTTACCTTTTCGTGGTTGCAGATGAACCCTGATCTGGAAAGCCCACCAGGTAATATTTGCTGCTGCCATGACTTGTCCAATCATTTATTACGTGACAGAGGTAAAAAATGGACGGACTTGTTGTTGGTCAAAACGGATTACGTATTAAAACAATCTAATTTAAACTCGTCCATTTAACAAACAGCTTTAAACGGATTGGATTAAACTAGGTAAGTGTAAAACAAATCAAGAGAAGTAGCTAAAGAAACTATGGCCCCTAAAATTGTGTTTAGATTATGGATAATCCCTGTCCAAATTCATAATTCTCACTATCTTTCAAAATTACTACCCAAATCTATGATCCAAACAATCACAAGACAAGACAAGTGACTAACAAACAATATACATCCTCATATCCTGTCCACAGTATCAATTTCCACAAAAACTAAAGTTCAATGTAATCGTGTAACATTAATTGCAGTGTTCAAATACCATATTTCAAATTAACTGGAGTCATGAGTCGCAACGCTATTGCAAAATGAACAAGGATCGTTTACAACAATACCCAATACAACATCTATAGAACAAAGAGGTTCTGGATATGAGAATGCTTGATGATACAACTTGTAAAAACTACAACAGAATGCCAAGATCATTTAGTCCAGAAGTCCGGCTAGTCTACAGATTTCAATGGAATCAACCAGAGTTTCTTCTATCGGTCTGTAACTCCAACCCAGCTTCTGCAATTTCTCTGAACTGAGCTTTTCTTCTTCCTTTCCCTCAGTAAATCTGGCAATGTGTAATTGAATGAAACAGCAAATTTTAACCCAACAAAGGTAACCCATAGTAATAATTCAGCTACACTTATTGGTGATAGACCACAGATATAATTCAACTGCTAATACCTAATCTATTATATAATATAAAATTAAAAAAATGAAAAAGAAATTCGTACAGCAGGAAAATCCTTTTAGATGAATATATTATGGAGAGACAGAAACTTACTTCTTAGGATAATTGTAGTTCGGGTAGTTTTTCCTGAGTATTTCCACCAGATCTTGTGACTTGATCATGTAAGCTGTGCATATATATACCTTCCTTCGGCTTCGGGCTTCTCATATGCCAATAGCAGTGCTTCAGCTACATCTCGTACATCTACTATCATCCTCAAATTGTTTTCGAATTCATCATATCCCTCTGTAAATAACAGGATTGCGAGAAGTCAGGACATCAAGTGCTACAGTTTTCACTGACAAACCATTTTCAAGAAGAAAAAACTATATACCAGATGACTAGTAATAAGCAACGTATTGATGAAGTCATGGCACAACTTATGAAAAATTATGCACTGCTTGAGTGCCTTTCAAGTGCGCTCTGAGCAAGCCTCTGTGGGCTCCCATTATGCAGAAATCCCAGCACCCTGCTCAAGCACACTTTCAAGTGGGCATCAAGAGCAGCTCTATGGACTTCTGTGAAGTTGAAATGTCACCACATTTCTTTAAACCTAGGGCTCTAGACTTATGCAGAGCTCCCAGGGGGCACCTCGCTCGAGCGCTCTTCAATTGGTGCCCTTGGGGCTTGCCCAATTAATCTTGTTTTGAATAGTTTCCGATCATAAAGACCACAAGACTAAGCATAAGTTATTCTAGTCAAACTATGACATGAAAAAGCATGTGTCCTAGACTAATACAAGATATCATATGTAAATAGGATCCAAGCACACTTTGCATTATCTCTAAAGATCTTTAATCTTGATCAGTTTGAGACACTAACCTATTCTCACTAACATGTTTTTTGTCTATGGAAATTAGCAAGGCATTAAATCATTTTACAAAATACTCAGGAATAAAGGGAACATGATCTCTATCTGCTGGCAATTCATTTGCATGATGTCATCTTGAATACTGTCATGGAATCTGTGAAAATCCAAATCATCTATAAAAATTTCAACAAAATGTTAGTTACCTCAATTTATTTGGCTGTGGAGCTCACTAGGTTGGAATGTTAAGTATTTGCACGTGCCTTCTCTTCCCATTTTATTTTTTTATTGCATCTTTCTTTTACTTTTTTCCTGTGTGTGTATTTTCAGGGGTGGGGGGATTGGTTCCACAAGATTGATATCCAGCTTCAAGTGTTCCATTTAAGTGCAACCAAAGTTGACATGCTGTTTCAACATCAACCCACATCCAACGCTTTAACATTTTTGCTTTTTTGAAGAAAGCAAAAACGCAGCATGTGTTTGCACAACATTTATTTGTGCATCCATACACATCAAATTATACACATGAATGAGTATGATTATCTGTACGTACACATGTACATTTATTATTTATACATGCTTTTATGACCACTTATATGCCTATAAGTTCTCACATAAGTATTATACATACCTTTATGCCTATATACAAATTTATATATTTATATATGCATATTTTTCTACATAGAGATGCTTCGTAAGTACTTTTATCCATACATATATGCTACACATGTCTTACTAAGGCTTGGTTTGGCATAACTAAAAAAAGCCAAAAAGTCAAAAAGTCACTATCCTATTTAAGTCACATCATCTTATTTAAGTCACATCACCTCTCTACCACATCACTTCAAACCCAACTCATATCCAACCCATATTTCAAAGTCAAAAAATGCACTTACTTAGTTTATCCCAAACAATACCTAAATTGATTTTTAAATGTATCCATACCTAATTGTACATTATATGACCACATGCTGTTATCAAAAGTAATTTCATATGCATATTAATGAAGATCATGGAAAGAAAAAAAATAGCAAATCTGGAATTTTACATGAAACACATTTAGGACATCAAGAATTAAATATTTGGAATAATTTCAAGTCTTCATGTAACGCCCTCGAAATAATGACATTAAACCCAACAATATAAACCTATATTTATATACAAAAGATCCACATTCTTCAATTCATCAGAGTAGTTCTTACAGCAGCATTACAAGTTAACAACAATAATAAATGCCCTACAGGCTTACAGCTTTCCAAGTCAACGCTTGGTTACAAACAATAGAGTACTAACTCAAATGCACATTAAGCCCTTGGCTTGAATTTACACGTAATACAACCAAAAGGAAATAAGACAACAAAAGTATGTCCGTCTCTAGCCTCCCAAGCTATGTCCTTGGAGGTGGCATGCTACCTGTACCTGAAATGATGTTCCCATATAGGGTGAGCCACAGCCCAGTAGAAATATACTAAACCAACTATGAACAATGACTAAGAAATTAACAACTAAAAGATGGGCAACACTGACACTTCCATTTACATCTTATTACAATTCCATGATGGTTAAGTCTAGGTTACAATTCACCTTCCATTTCTTATTCAACTTTGGGTTGAAAACAAGGTTCAATACTCTGGCCAAAACATTTGATGAGATTATAGTTCATCACTAGAACATTTTCGAATGTTGAGGTGGATACACATTTTGGTGTTGTACCAATAACACATAAACTACTTCCATCCTTCACAAACGATGATGACATACATTTTAGTGCTATATCAAATCAAACAAACTTTTCAATAGATAAGCATATGAGCTATATCACTACCACAACAGATAAGCATATGAGCTATATCAATACTTCAACAAATAAACATATGAGCTATATTCAATACTACAACAGATAAGCATACGAGCTGTATCAACATTCCAATAGATAAGCATATGAGCTGTATCAACACTTCAATAGATAAGCATATGAGCTATATCACTACCACAACAGATAAGCATATGAGCTATATCAATACTTCAACAAATAAGCATATGAGCTATATTCAATACTTCAACGCATCAAAATGCTAAAATTCAAAGACAAAGCTCATAAGATGGAGTAGGTTATCCCTACCTCAAATAATGTGACCCAACGAAGGAGGTGAAGAAACGGAAATGCTCCAAATCCTGAAATTTTCAGATTAAAAGATAGCCCTCGACGATCAACACAACTTGTGTAAAGGCCCAAGGTGAGAAAACAACTCCTACTAGATCAATCCTAAGAGAGAAGTTAGGGTTTTAGTGAGAGGAACTCTCAAAATAGATTTTTGGAAAAGTAAGAGAGAGAAAGGATGTTGAAAAGTGAACAAAAAAGTCAGATCTCGGCTTTATATAAAAGTCGCCCCGCTCGAGCGCCGAACTCCCAGCTCGAGCGTCACTCACAGACTCCCGCTCGAGCGTGAGTCTAGATGCAAGACATTCCCCCCTCTTCAGGTTATGGCCTTTGATGTACCAAAATAAATAAATAAACATGACTCGACTTGCTACTAACATTCCAAGCTCCTGCAACATTTTTGGATGGTGATATTTTTAACCATTAGTTATGCAATAATGCTACAATGACTAAATTTGGAATGAAATGTAATACATCAGCAACACATTAAATGATATTCAAAATTTGATGGCCATATATAAGGGAAGAGTCACAGTCAGAGAGTGTTGGTGGGATAGACAATAGTTGTGCCATTGTGAAGCCAGTGGCTAGGGTTTAAGGTCACTCAGGGAAAGGGGGTCCCAAATACAATACAACATGTTCTGTGCCATGCTGACACTACTGGTGCTGCTGCTGAGCCCTGCATATGCATTTCATGGGACCACAATACATACATACATACATACACACATATATATATATATATATAATAGTGAATCTTTACCTTTTCGTGGTTACGGATGAACCCTGATCTGGAAAGCCCACCAGGTAATATTTGCTGCTGCCATGACTTGTCCAATCATTTATTACAACGTGACAGAGGTAAAAAATGGGCGGGCTTGCTGTTGGTCAAAACGGATTACGTATTAAAACAATCTAATTTAAACTCGTCCATTTAACAAACAGCTTTAAACGGATTAGATTAAACTAGGTAAGTGTAAAACAAATCAAGAGAAGCAGCTAAAGAAACTATGGCCCCTAAAATTGTGTTTAGATTATGGATAATCCCTGTCCAAATACATAATTCTCACTTTCTTTCAAAATTACTACCCATATCTATGATCCAAACAGTCACAAGACAAGACAAGTGACCAACAAACAACATACATCCTCATATCCTGTCCACAGTATCAATTTCCACAAAAACTAAAGTTCAATGTAATCGTGTAACATTAATTGCAGTGTTCAAATACCATATTTCAAATTAACTGGAGTCATGAGTCGCAGCGCTATTGCAAAATGAACAAGGATCGTTTACAACAATACCCAATACAACATCTATAGAACAAAGAGGTTCTGGATATGAGAATGCTTGATGATACAACTTGTAAAAACTACAACAGAATGCCAAGATCATTTAGTCCAGAAGTCCGGCTAGTCTACAGATTTCAATGGAATCAACCAGAGTTTCTTCTATCGGTCTGTAACTCCAACCCAGCTTCTGCAATTTCTCTGAACTGAGCTTTTCTTCTTCCTTTCCCTCAGTAAATCTGGCAATGTGTAATTGAATGAAACAGCAAATTTTAACCCAACAAAGGTAACCCATAGTAATAATTCAGCTACACTTATTGGTGATAGACCATAGCTATAATTCAACTGCTAATACCTAATCTATTATATAATATAAAATTAAAAAAATGAAAAAGAAATTCGTACAGCAGGAAAATCCTTTTAGATGAATATATTATGGAGAGACAGAAACTTACTTCTTAGGATAATTGTAGTTCGGGTAGTTTTTCCTGAGTATTTCCACCAGATCTTGTGACTTTATCATGTAAGCTATGCATATATACCTTCCTTCGGCTTCGGGCTTCTCATATGCCAATAGCAGTGCTTCAGCTACATCTCGTACATCTACTATCATCCTCAAATTGTTTTCGAATTCATCATATCCCTCTGTAAATAACAGGATTGCGAGAAGTCAGGACATCAAGTGCTACAGTTTTCACTGACAAACCATTTTCAAGAAGAAAAAACTATATACCAGATGACTAGTAATAAGCAACGTATTGATGAAGTCATGGCACAACTTATGAAAAATTATGCACTGCTTGAGTGCCTTTCAAGTGCGCTCTGAGCAAGCCTCTGTGGGCTCCCATTATGCAGAAATCCCAGCACCCTGCTCAAGCACACTTTCAAGTGGGCATCAAGAGCAGCTCTATGGACTTCTGTGAAGTTGAAATGTCACCACATTTCTTTAAACCTAGGGCTCTAGACTTATGCAGAGCTCCCAGGGGGCACCTCGCTCGAGCGCTCTTCAATTGGTGCCCTTGGGGCTTGCCCAATTAATCTTGTTTTGAATAGTTTCCGATCATAAAGACCACAAGACTAAGCATAAGTTATTCTAGTCAAACTATGACATGAAAAGCATGTGTCCTAGACTAATACAAGATATCATATGTAAATAGGATCGAAGCACACTTTGCATTATCTCTAAAGATCTTTAATCTTGATCAGTTAGAGACACTAACCTATTCTCACTAACACGCATTTTGTCTATGGAAATTAGCAAGGCATTAAATCACTTTACAAAATACTTGGGAATAAAGGGAACATGATCTCTATCTGCTGGCAATTCATTTGCATGATGTCATCTTGAATACTGTCATGGAATCTGTGAAAATCCAAATCATCTATAAAAATTTCTACAAAATGTTAGTTACCTCAATTTATTTGGCTATGGAGCTCACTAGGTTGGAATGTTAAGTATTTGCACGTGCCTTCTCTTCCCATTTTATTTCTTTATTGCATCTTTCTTTTACTTTTTTCCTGTGTGTGTATTTTTAGGGGTGGGGGGATTGGTTCCACAAGATTTATAGCGATCCCGGGGTTACCCTTGTTGTACAGTGATCCGGACATGTGTCCGTGGATGTTGGTAGTTGTTTATTATCTTGTTGCATCCTCTTTACTTTGTATTTTGAGTTATAGGATGTGTTGGACAGGTTTGTTTCAGGTTGGTTGTGTTTGGGAGCCTACTATTGCTGCCCAGATTTTTGAACCTTCGCTCGAGCGAGGAGTTGG